AAATCTTCGACGGAATTCCCTTTCCGTCGAAAAGCCCACAAAGTTTAATTTCTTTTTCTTTTTATTTTTTCAAAATCTTTGATGGAATTAAAATTCCGTTGAAAAGCCGGAAAAATTTAATTTACTTTTCTTTTGATTTTTTTCAAAAATCTTCGACGAAATTACTTTTCTATCGAAAATTTTCGACGGATTTAAAATTCTGTCGAAAAGCCCACACAATTTAATTTCTTTTTTTTTTCAAATATCTTCGACGGAATCAAAATTCCGTCGAAAAGTCCACAAAATTTAATTTTTTTTCTTTTATTTTTTTAAAAATCTTCAACGGAATTTCATTTCCGTCGAAAATCTTCGACGTAATCGAAAATGCCACAATTTAATTTTTTTTCTTTTATTTTTTTCAAAAGTTTTCGACGGAATTCTTTTTTCCTTCGAAAACTTTCGACGGAATCCTTTTTCTGTCGAAATTTTTTGACAGAATCTATTTTCCGTTGAAATTTTTGACGGAAAACAGATTCCGTAGAAAATTTCGTCAATAATTTCAACGGAATTTTTTCCGTCGAAAAATTTCATCGATAATAAAGCATTTTCTAGTAGTTTATTCTTCGCCATGAAGAAAGTAGCTTAAGAGAAATTATTAACTGCACTTCAAATATCCCTACAATGCTATCTCAGCTGACCTCATTCTAACACTAATTAACAATATTTACTGCCATAAATAAGGGTATTCAAGTAAATGATCTTCTCCATCTTTAACTTGCTTATATAAATTTTGATTTGGGTGTCAATCCACCCTTCACCTTGTTCCATGAGAGATTTATAGAAGAGCAACTTCAAACTAGCCTAAAAGAATCTTCATCAACAAGATTATTATTCAGTCCAAGAAATTTAAATCTCATTAATGTTGAATAACCATAAAAAAAAGTACCGTCACCATATAAGTTTTTGAATTATATAATAAAAAATTAAAATATGAATCTTGTTTTCTACCTTTGATGTATAGAAATTTAATTCTATTGTTTGTTTTTGATTTTGTGATAACAATTTTCTTGGATTCTTGACATCAAAACACCCTAAAATCAGTGTTTAAAAACCCGGCCCGGCCATCGACCCGCCGAGGTCACGGGTCACGGGGTCATTACGCTGACCCGGTTTTATATATTAAAAAAATATAAATATATATATATATATCCTATATGAAAATGTTAAAAAAAAATCACCAATCACCAATCATCAAAAATTCAAAATATACTTAATATAATTCACCAATTATAGCCACAAGTCAATAGTATACAACCTAATTAAAGTATCAAGATACCAAAGTACAAAACTCATATTCTAATGATACCAAAGTATCAAGATACCACAAGTCTAGGTCGTTGGGAGAGAAGAGAACGATTAAATTTTGGTTTGCAAGCATTTTTATTTTATTTTTTTAATAAAATGACGTTGTTTCATGGAATTTTCTTAAAAAAAAAAAACATGCAGTGGCCCCCTTTTACCCCTCTGACCCGAGAGTTACTGAAACCCGGCTGGATTTTGAGGGTTGGAGGGGTCGATGTGCATATAGAGTCTAACTTGTGACCCCAACCCTTAGAGGGGAGGGATTAGGGTTGACCCGGGTCAACCCGGGAGATGGGGTAGGATTTTAAAACACTGCCGAGAACAAGACCCTGGCCTCTCAGAGTATAATTTAAATCTTACAAATGAAAATAAAAGGGGGGTGTGGGGAGTTGGAAGAATAGGTCGGTCCAAAACTTTTTTCCGAAAGGTGGTTCAAAACAATCTTGTCAGACGAAATTCCTAACCATTGTTCGAATAATCTGAATCCCAGTTTAAATAGTTTTTTTTTTTTTTTTTTGACAAACACATTATTTTCACAATTTCCATTCAAGTTTGATGAAGACCAAATTCTTCCAAGAATATTCATTCAAAAATCAAACTTTCAATATTAGGATTTAAACAGTAATTTTTAATCACAAGAACCAACTTCCACCTGGTAAAATAATTATTCCCCGTGCTTCAGCTACAATCCATTAAACAGGATTCCCCTTCCTCCTCTTATAACCCAATCAACAAGGTCATGCATCAGCAAGCTTCCCTTTCCATCAGAAGGTCAACGGGGCTCACTTTCTTATTGAAGAAAACAGGCTGCTATTCAATATTGGCAACAGGATTGACTCTAGTGGAATTGAGCCTACCAGAAATAAACGCATCACCAAGTTATCCATTAAAGTAACTACGAAACGATTGGAAACAACCAGAGAAACCGCTAATAAAGAGTACAATAAAATTCAAAACTCCCACTATTCATAAAGTATAAGAAAAAGGGAAGAAATTGCACCTCTTTTATGTGTGTTTGTGCGTCTACTACCTTTTACACATCGAGATTCAATTCCTCGGGAATCACAGTTAAACTCACCAATTTATCACTTGCTCTTTTAAATAGTAACTTCATGAGCCCCGGTCTTTTAACTAGTACCTTCATGGGCACCCCTACTTTGTCCCCCATTACTTCACTTACCTGGCACAGTTTTATATCTCCGTGAGAATATATAAATAGGCATATCATATCATATCACATCATGTTAACATTGCATTCCCTTACATTCCATTCCATTCCTTTTCATCAATCCAAATATAGCCCAAGGACTCCAAAGAGCCATCAAATTATAGTACAATTGTTTTTTTTCTAACAAATCATCTCACTTCAAAAGCAATGTTAGAACAAGAATTAAATAATAATATACAAAATATCCCAATACCTTCTTCATGCTTTTGACAGGCTTCCCATCAAATTCAATGACAACATCGCCTGGACGGAACCCAGCACAATCACCAGGTGACCCAGGAGTTACCTTGTCAAAAACATTTAAGTCATGTAATTTCAAGTATTGCCTTGCATTAGTGAACGCAGTGCAGTGCATATAATTCCAGAAAAGAAAAAAATACATGGTAAGGATAATTACAATGAATAACCTGAATTAAGAAAAATCAATTCAGATGGAGGATTACACATTATTCTCTCATCAGAAAGTGCATGAAGTGGCCTTTAGTAGTCTTTCCGTTCAACTTCTGTATTAACAAATTAAGCGTTGTATAGCTCATGACAGTCCCTGTCCTGTCCCTTTAGTTTTTCAGTTTTCTAGTTTACAATTTACTTGTTTTCTAGTTTACTAATCCATTATATATCATTCACAAATACACAACCACCTTCGTCTCAGAATGTAAAACATCATTTCTGATTGTAACATAACACAAATGACAAGCCAGCAATATTTTACAACAAATTACATTCTCTTTTCCGATGCTGCATATGCAATAAAAATAGTATGGATAAAACCAATAACATTCCCTCTTTTCTTGAAATGCTCTATAATTTTAGACACAGAGTCTATTGGTACAGAAAAAACTCAACCCATCAGCAGCCATCACTTTCATGATGTTCACGCCAATAACTTCACCATCCATGTTGACAAGAGCTCCTCCATAATTTCCCGTAGAAGCAGATAAAAACACATAAGCAGATTGAATAAACATAAAACATGCGGGTGAAATTTGGTCCGTACAGAAAATGCAAACCTAGTTGGGTACATTCGGAACTTACAGGGAGAAAGAGAGGAAAATATGCCATATTAACTGCACAATCTGTTTGTAAATAATCTGTCCATGTCACATGTGTCATAAAATAATTTAAATTAATATAGACTGAATTAAATTAAAATAATTAACAAACATAAATTATATTTAATTCATTAATACTCTTAAATTAAATTACATTACTTAATTATTCAAAAATTAAATGAAAATAATTAACACTCCTTAAAATGATTAATTAATAATTATAAAATAATTTAAATTAATATAAATTAAATTAAACTAAAATAATTAACTATAATTAATTTAAATTATTTTACAACTATTAATTACTCATTTTCATTTAATTTAGTTTAAGTTATGTTAATTTTTTTAACTATTAAATAATGTAATTTAATTTTGGAGTGTTAATGAATTAAATATAACAAATTTGTCATTTGCCCGATATCAGAAAAGTTGATTAAATATGCAATGTTGTATAGCACGTTCGGAGCTAGGTAATCTCATTGCACTGCATAACAGTTTACGTGGCAATGCATCTTCGGCCACGTGTCCACATGTAACGAGTTAGGTGACATGTCATTTTTTGGAAAAAAAAAAATTGACAATCGTGACATTCAGTTAATTTTTTACAAAAAAATGTGGTACTAGTCCCGCATGTATTAAATACGGGACTTGAATAAAGGATTTTCAATTTAATTTTCTCTCTCTCTCTGGAGGAATCGCTTAGAATCACATTCTTTTCAATTTTAGATTTTGCTTCTGCGATCTTCAGCCTCAAGGCCACCGTGCTTTTGGGCACCTCTTAAGTTATCTGCATTTTTTAGGGTTCTTTTTATTCTGAATTGGATTACAACTCTGCTTTGCTAAATTGATGGCACTCTATCAGTTCATGGTAAGACTCATTAGCATGAGAGATTTTGAATTGGATTATGGGTTGGAGGTTTTTTTTGTTTGTTTTTTCACTTGGAAATGATAAATTCAAATGTAGAAATTGATCGTCTTCTTATTAAAAAAAATGCTTTTCTGGGTTGGGTGCTTCTTTGGACTATACGATACCATATTGGAAAATCAGCTAAACCCAGTTCAACTTATGTATTGTGATGAATTCTGACAAAGGTCTTTCTTTTCTTTTTTTTAAATTTTTTTCTCTTGGTATTTAATCCCAACTCTGAAATCCAAGGTTCTATGTGTTTTTTCATCAGCCCAATACTCAACGAGAGTTTTATTTTCATTTAACGACAACACGCCAGACATTCATTGCTTCATTTAGGAACTAATTAGCAGTAAAACAACATCAACCGTGAAATTAAACACATTACAAATAGTACGTTACTAATAAGCGGTTAAAAACGAAACTAGTACATTTATGAAGGCAACCAAACCAATCAAGACATAGCGTTAAGGTTTCTGACATGTATATACATATAAGTTTAACAAAAAGAAAAACAAAAGATTATTATACTAATTCTAATCAATTTTCTTAGAAGGGAGGTTTTTCTTGTCGGCAGTGGCAGTGTTCTTGGGCAACAAAACGGGGTTGATATTGGGCAACACACCACCGTTGGCAATGGTCACACCTTGTAGCAATTTCCCTAACTCATCGTCATTCCTCACAGCAAGACACACATGCCTTGGGTTTATCCTGTTCTTCTTGTTATCTCGTGCAGCATTCCCAGCCAATTCCAGCACCTACATTAATTGCGCTCCATTTCAAATATTAAAGAAAGAAAGGAAAAAATGATTGCGAAAGAAACAACCAACCAACGAAACATAAAATTAAATTCCACAATTCGATTGATTGAATATATATATACCTCGGCAGCAAGATACTCGAGAACGGCGGCGAGGTAGATGGGAGCACCGGTGCCCAAACGCTGAGAATAACGACCCTTCCTTAACAACCTGGCGACGCGACCGACCGGGAATTGAAGACCAGCTTTCGAGGATTTGGAAACGGCCTTCTTTCTCTCGCCCCTTCTTCCTGCGACACCCTTCGCTTGTGCCTCCATTGCTCTCTCTCTCTCTCTCTCTCTCTCTCTGTGATCCGATAAAGGAGCTAAACGATTCGCTTTGGAGGGAATGCGGAAAATAAGATTATCGCTTTGTTTGAATATGTAATTGCAAGTGCTACTCTGTTAATGAAGAGGGTGAGTTATATTAATACTGCTAATCAATGCCAAATGTTCCGGATCCCGTCTATCTCTTTGGACCAGATCCGACGGTCAATAATCAATATCATATCAAACCTTCACTTGCAATTTCAATTGACGGATAGATTTGCTTAATCTCACGGCTAATTCTTATGACACGGTGGCTATCCGTGTGCTCCGCTTCGTACGACGGGGTGATTTCCTCTTTCAATATAAGTATTACATTGCCTGACAGTTTTTTTTTTTTTTAGTGGATTGTTAAAATTTCACTATTTTTTATTTTTTTTATTTATGGACCGGTTTGGATGAGCTTTTTTAAGGAAAAAAAACACTTCTCGAAAAAAATCTATTTGGATGTCTGTTTTTTAAAAAGTCAACAACCTACTTTTTTCAGAAGTTAAAAATTTTAACTTCTAAAAAAAACAGAAGTCAAAAGTTAAATATTTTTTTTCAAAAATTAAATATTTTTTAAAAATCTAAATAACTGTAACTTTTATAAAAAGCGCTTTTAAAATAAAGAAGTCATAAAAATGACTTTTTTCACAAATCCATACAAACAAGCTCTAAGTACGTGAGGTTCAATTTTATATGAGCATGTAAAATTTTAACATAAAATAACCTATTTTTTTTAGACGATGAATGATACAATTTGCTGTGTAGTGTGTTCTATCTATTGCTCAATTTTATTTTATTTTTGTTGTTTTCGTGTAAACGTGAAAGGTGTTAATCATTCAAAACCACAATCACGTCAATCCATTAATTTACATAAAAATAATAATCTTCGAATTTGAAATTCAGATACCTTTGATGCGGAAGCTTTAAAAATTTAAATATCAGTTGTCAACAACCTATTTCTAATTTTATCGAGTGAGCTTTAGATCATAAATAAATGACATAGGGCAAATATTATAATTAATTATTTGGGATTAGCATGAGACAAACAGCGATTATGAGTTAGGCCTTGTTATCTAGTTATTATGAGTTCATTTTAACATTATCAGTTGGGCCTTGACTCCGTACCCACTGCCGAATGCCGATTTAGGTTCTTGTACTCGGATTTTATTTGCTAACTACAGATAAAAGAATAAATAAAAAATGAGGGACAAGTGAGCAAATAAAAATGTAAAAGAGATAATTTAGTTCCATAAAAGTGAAACCTAAGAAATTCAAAATATATATCTTAAAGCAAAAAAAATTCTCATGTTGTGAAAATTCTTGAATAAATAATAATTATATATTACGGGTAGTACATAGTTATAATAATAATAAAAAATTATATCCCTTATAATTATGTACTATCTGTAATGCATAGTTTATTTTTATTTTCAGCAATTACTAGAACACAAGAAAAAAAGAGACCCATATCTTAAACATGTAAATTAGTAGGGTTTCCTTATGTGAAAAATTGTCAAGTTTAAAAAATGCTCATGTTTCTGAAAATTTATCTTATGCCACAAATTTAATATATATCTTTCTAACTATTTCAAGCATAATTGTAACTCTCAAATATGTTATTTTTTTAAACTTCGCTTTATTACATTTGATGTCATAACTCTTTGTTGTTTAGTAAGGGGTGTTTGGTAGGTGATTTTTAATGGGATAGATGGGTAAGTGGTGGTGGAAAATGGAGAATGGTTAGTTTGGTAGAGGATTAAATGAAATCAAACAGGACATTCTCTATCTCCATGCAAATCTGAAATCAGTGTGAAATTGTCTGAAAATCACTGTTTTGAAACTCCACCTTCGAGGTGGTATTGGTAGAAAACTAGGGAAGTGATATATTTTGGTGCCAAATTTTTTACGCAATTGCCCCTCTCCAAATATCTCTCTCCTCTAATATTCAGGGGTATTTTCAAAATTATGTCATATTTCTCATTCAATCTTTTATTTTCAACTAAACATAGTCTCAATATATTTTACACAATTCTCCTAGTAATATTTCGGTCTACCAAACAATATTTTTAAAAATTTCCCACTTATTTTACTTTACAATCATTTCTCCACTATTTATATTTACCTGGTTATAAAAAATGTCTCCTATACCAAACGCCTCCTAAAGATATTTACAAATCTCCTTTGTTTTGAGTTACATTACTATTACTATCAATATCTCATTACTTTGAGATAAAGATGATTTATTTTTTATTCCTTTGATCCTCTAATCAAAATCATTTTTGGATTTTTGCTTTTCTATTGAATTCTCATCATTTTAGTTTTTATAATTGATCAGTTTTACTTATAATTTTTTCCATTAAACGCCAGCGTCATTCATTGTATTTCGTCCGGCAATATTACATGAATTTCTTTAATCACCTCAAATAACTATTTTATTCAGTCTATTAGAAGTTTAAATACAATGAAAATAAATACTAACAAATAGCAACCACCCACCCCCACTACTAACAGTTATATCCACTGCTCCAATGTTCCTGGGTCAAATAACAATCGTTTATTAACAACAATAATTTAAAAATAACAAAATAATAAAATAAAATAAATAAAAATTAACAACCGTAACATTCCCTCTCTAAAAATTACTCATATTCTTGAGAGTAAGTTCAATATAAAGTAATTGAAACGTCTTTGGTTTCTGAATCTCCATTATTCTTGTCCATCACCGCCTCGATCGAAGATAATTTATTGCAATGATGACCATGAGCAAAATCACCATTACAGCGAAAACAGAGTATCTTCCATCGCCTATCAAAAATTCGTTTGAAAGTCAATTGTTGAACAACTGGATTAGTGTCACTTCGTTTATTGGTTGTGATAGGTTGGGGTTATAGAAACCGTTGCTTTAACATTAAAATTGTTCGCTGAATGATCTCTTATTTGTCATGTTAGCATAGCTACTAAGATATCCAATCGGTTGCAGAATTAGTAAACATTTCATTGAATTGTTTTGACAACCTCTTTTAATTTTGGGACGCATTTGAAATTTGACTTTATTAAATAAGTCGAATCTCTTGCACAGTGCCTTTTGGAATAATTTTTTTAATTTAATATTTTATTCATTTCACTAAAAGTTTAAATAAACAATGAAAATACTAACAAATAGCAACCACCCACCCACTACTAATTGTTGCAAGATCCTATCTCATCCATTACTCCAATATTCCTAAAGATTTAGTCAAATAACAACCCTTTATTAACAACAGACGATTTAAAAAGAATAAAATATTAAAATAAAAAAAATAAAAACTAACTATCGTAACATTATTTATTATTTATTTACACCTCAAATAAATTTCGATACCTTTGGTCATATGTTGTTTAGGATTTAACATATATGGTTCGTAAAAATATGATATCATGAACGAACATAAGAAAGGTAAACAATAGGACATTTAATGTTAATTTGAATAATTTTTTAGTTAAGTATATTTTAATAAAAAAAAGAAAATTGGTTTATATTAAATTTCTTATTACCATGCTTTTAAATTTACAATGCTTATTGTTTAGAAACTTTAATTTTTTTTTCTAAATTTAAATATTAATATAATAAGATACATTTTTATATTTTCATTATTTATAACGCTGTACAAGTTTTAAATTTTTTTTATAAATTATCCGTTAATGATATAATGGCGGAGCAAGATGAATAAGATGAGCGATTTTCCTGAGAAAATTCGTGGAAACCTTTTCGGTAAAAAGAAAAAAAAAAAAGAATCAACGTCTTCCAATTATCATCTTCTATTATCTGGGCCCTTCCAAAAATGTCACTCCATCATTCTAATGGTACATGCTCTTTTATCTTACTTTTTTGTTTATTTGTTAAGGATATTTATAAAATAAAATAGAGAAAAATGATTCTGCAGTTAATGCAGATAAGTTATCTGCATTTGTTTTCAAAACGACGTCGTTTTGAGAATAAGATCTTAAAAAAATATATATAATGACTATTATAATCCCGAATTAAATTAAAATTACAAAAATACCATGATTTACACTTCAAAATGATGTCATATTGGACTTACGGTAGATAATTTATCTGTAGTAATTGCAGAAAAAGTGAACCCAATAAAATATTAAAATATTGATGGGAACATTCCAATTTAGCAAACATTCAGATGAAACTTTGCTGGGTATGCAATATGTTTTTTTTTTTTGGTATCCTTTATGCAATATGTTATTCTTAGGGGTGTTCATTAACCGATTCAAACCGATTTAAACCGCGGTGACCGAACCGAAAAATCGATAACCGAATAAACCGAAAATCGATTAAAAACCGCAAATTTTAATTGGATTGGAATGATTTTTGGATGGGTTGATGAAAACCGATCCAATATATTAATTTCTCTCTATCTACTTGGGTTTTTCCCTAATCATAGCCTAAAAATTTCTAAACTCAAGACTCATTAACCAATCAACTAAATCCAAAAAAATCTAGTCACATCTCATCAACAAAATTTTATCTTTGTAGAGCTTCATATCTCATTGCCAACAAAAAAATTATTAATGCTTTTGTATTTCAAAAAAAATAAATTTACAAAGCCAATATATACAAAAGTTGTTATTTACACAATAATCATGAAATAAATTTTAGGATTTTCAAAACTTCGAAAATCGATACAATCCAAACCGAAAAAAATTGAATTGGATCGGATCGGATTTGAAAAAAAATTAAAACCGAATGAATGATTATATGATCAAACCGAAAGGATTGAATCGGATGAGTTTTGCTTCCAAAACTGATCTAATCCAAACTGCAAACACCCCTAGTTATTCGTACGGAACTTGGGTGCTCACATAATATATTTTATCAACTTCTCCGTCGATCATATTTATTGAGAATAAAACGTTTACTACAACAAATGTCACCTCGATATAAAATAAAAAATCGAAATCGAAAAAAAATTACCGAAGAAATATATAAATAATTGCGATTCTAATTTTTTCCCCCTTTTCATAACTATTCAACTTTAATCCTTTACAGTTTTTTACAATATAATGTAA